TTCAAGGCCAGCCTGCCAGCCTGATCTACACAGTGAGTTCAGGCCAGCTGGGGCTACAGGGAGACTCTGTCTCAAAAAAACAAAACAAAACAAAAAAAAAACACAAAACAACAGCAACAAAAAGATACACTCTGTGGCTGTTGAGATGACTCAGTGGATAAAGACACTTGACATCAAGCCTGACTCCCTGAGTTTGATCCCCAGAACCCACATGGTAGAAGGAGAAAACTGACTTCTGCACACACATGTGCACTTACACACACACACACACACACACACACACACACAGAGATAAATCTTGCTGAGTGCAGTGGCATGCACCTGTCATTCCAGTACTTGTCACATCCATCCTCTAAAGACTCAGTCAGGAGGATTACTTGAGCTTGGGGATTGGCGACTGTAGTGTGCTATAAATGTGATAACATGGGTCATCCACACTAATCGTCAGTAGTGGGATTGTGCCTGGAATAGTCACCACACTCTGCCCTGGACAACACAGCAAGACACAGTTGACAGAGAGTTTTCACACCTGTGTCATGCAATGCCCGCGGAGGACAGAAGAGGCTGTCAGATCCCCTGGAATTGGAGTTAGGACAGTTGTTAGCTGCCATGTGGGTGCTGGGATTTGAACCCGGATCTTCTGAAAGAACAGCCAGTGTTCTTAACTGCTGAGCCATCTCTCCAGTCTGGGAGGAAAGGTTTTACTTTGGCTCCTGGTTTCAGAGAGCTTTCAGTCCATTGTGGTGGTGAGGGCGTGACTGCAGGAGCATGTGGCATGGGTATTGCATGAGGTAGACCAGGAAGCAGACATCATGGGACAAGAACCAGAGGTGGGTGTAACCTCCAAAGATCTATACCTATGATCTCTCCCTATCAGGCAAGCCCCCCACCCCAGAGTCTCCATAGACAAGAGGTTATCCCTTCCATGATATCTAGGTCGCCCACATTGTCAGTCTTTTCTTTCCTTCCTTCCTTTCTTTTTTCCTCCCTCCCTCCCTTGCTCCCTCCCTCCCTCATTTCCTTCTATCTTTGTATATAGTGTATGCTTGTGGCATGCCTATGAGCACACTTGTGGAAGCTAGAGGTTGATATGTGTCTTTTCTTTTACTCTCCACCTTATTTTTTGAGGCAGGGTCTCCCACTGAATTTGGAGCTCACTGATTGCTAGGTTAGCTATCCAGTGAGCCTCTGTGATCCTCCTGTTTCTGCTTCCCAGTGCTGGAATTACAGGTACTTGCTGCCAGGTCTGGCTTTTTATGTGGGTGCTGGAGCTTTTGAACTTGAACTTGGGCCCTCATGCTTACACAGCAATACTTTACTACTGAGTCACCTCTGGAGCCCCTGTCTGTCCACTTTAAAAAAAAATTATTGTTATTGTGTGTTTGTGTATGGGTAACCGTGCCACCACAGAACATGTTCAGATGCCAGAGGACAACTTTTTGGAGTTGGTTCTCTTCTTCCATCTTTATGTGGATTCTTGAAATTGAACTCAAGTCACCAGGCTTGCCTAGTTGTCTTTTCTTTCTTTCTTTTCTTTCTTTCTTTCTTTCTTTCTTTCTTTCTTTCTTTCTTTCTTTCTTTCTTTCTTTCTTTCTTTCTTTCTCTTTTGTTCTTTTCTTTCTTTCTCTTTCTTTTTTGGTCTTTTTGAGACAGGGTCTCCCTGTAGCCCAGCTGTCCTGGAACTCACTATGTAGACCAGGGTGGCCTCAAACTCACAAAAATCTGCCTGCATGGTTCTGGGATTACAGGGATGCACTACTAGACCTAGATTAGACCCAGGGCTTTGTGTATACTAGACAAGCACTCTACCAAATGAGCTACATCCCTGAAATCTCAGCACTTGGGAGGTGGAAGCAAAGGATCAGGAGTTCAAGGTCATCTTTGGATACCTAGTGAGTTCAGGGCTAGCCTGGACTACAGGAGATTCTATCTCAAATCAAACCAACCAACCAACAAACAAAACTGAAGAAAATCAAGTAACAATAAAAATAAACTTTAAAAAGGCATATGAGGGCTGGGCGTGGTGGTGCACGCCTTTAATCCCAGCACTCGAGAGGCAGAGGCAAGCGGATCTCTGTGAGTTCAAGGCCAGCCTGGTCTACAAAGTGAGTTCCAGGACAGTTGGGGCTACAGAGAGACCCTGTCTCAAAAAAAAAAATTGCTTGGGACTTGCACAGTTCACTGTGGTCAGGGGCCTGGGAGAAGTAAAAAAG